GCTTGGACAAAAGAAGGTGTCAAGGCAAGGCTATGGCAGGAGTTTCAGAGGAAGGGTTAGCAGCATTCCTGCACTCATAGGAGTGGGTTACTGAGCAGACAGAACCAAGCTCTTTATAGAAGTGTGTAGCAGGAAGATGAGAATGAATGGTCATGACCTGAAGGCAGGAGGTTCCAGCCTGATGGAAGACAAGACTTCGTCATAGTCAGGGAAGCATTGACAGGCAGCTTGGAGAAGTCGTAGAGTCTCTGTCCCTGGTGACTTTCAAGACCCAAATGGACAAAGCCCTGGTCTGGCCTGGATTCAGTGTTAACCCTGCTTTGACCAGGAGGTCAGGCTAGAGACCTCCTAGGGTCCTTTTCAACCTTAATTAGGACTCTTTAAGGTAAGAATAGTTAAAAACATACTGAAACTGGCTGCAAAAGGAGGAATTGTGTTAAGTGTTCTAGTATGGTGAAGGCCAGTGCAATCTCCTGCATCCCCAGTGCCGACTTTTATTGTACCTTTAAGCAGCTTAATTGTGCTAATACCACATTGAAAGAAAACCACCCCAAAGAACCCCAGACCACAATTCCATGGGCATATGCATGTCAGGTTTTCGTAACAGTCTTGTTACTGAAAACCAAATACATAGTACTCTTTCTGCTGTGGTTCGTCAGCACCACTGTTAGTCATGTCATCAGCAGCAGAGTTCTACAGGGAAATGAAAACTTCAATCTGAAATTCCAATTTCAGATGAGGTATTCAATCTATTTTACCTTTGGAAGAAGGCTTTTGATGGTTTACCTTTCCAGTGTTTATACTGTATGAAATAACATTAATAGGTGATACTTTAGGCAGAGCATAAGTAAACCATTCTCACAGAGTGATCTAATAAATTGTTATCATCTGTGTAGTATTTGAGTACAAGAATATGTTTTGTTTGGGTTTGGTATGGGAACGTAAGAGAAAGGACTAACAGGACTTCCTAGAACACAAGTTACCCAGCATGAACAACAGTAGAATGTTCACAGCACATCACAACATTCTCCCCACATGTACATAGGTAGTTTGAGTTGCTGACTAAAGTGTACTAGTTTAATTAGCTTCTACTTGCATTGTTTCTTATTTAAATAAAGCTTTCACATTGGCTTTCCCATGAAGTCGTGTTGTAGCGTAACTTGCCTTTGGAAAATACAGCGATTAAGTCTTCAAACTCCACAAAAGATGTTATTTGCTGTGCATTTTTCAAATTCTGCTGCAGAAACAATATGACCTAAATATTTAATCAGGCTTAGCAGAATTGGCTTTTTTTGTTGCAGCAGATTAATCTAGTTTCTCTGAGCTGATACATGTGGCACGTATGTCTTCAAGACCTTATGTTTTCTCAGTAACATTAAAGATTTATATCCTTCATAAAATCTGGCATGCACCAAGAGGAAGACTACGAATTACAATTACTTAAACATTAGCACTGGGAATTCTTCTTTTGAATCCTCTAGATGCCCTTTCAGACTACATTGTACTCACAGGGGCATTAGTGAGTACTGGCTTTGTACTGTTTTTCTATATCCTGCCCGATTTACTTCATTTCTGTGTTGTCAAAAAGATGTCAGCCTGGTGGTGCTGTTTGTGCTTTTGTCCTTGATATATTTGTTTTTAAATTGCAGTTGACTTCACTAGGGAAAATACCAGCTTTCTGGTTTAAATAAATCAGGATGTAAGTGGCTTTGCATGTTTTGCTTAGTGCTGTTGTCTCGTTCAAGTCTGTTCTTGAAGTTAGGGGTGAAAAAAACAATTTTTGGATTTTTGGGGTCTTATTTTTTTCTAAATATTCTTATTTTTTTCTGTTTAACCTGTGGCTGTAGTCTTGTATACACCTCTTGGATTGCATGGAGTTTGAGTTAAAAATCGGAAGTGATATGATCGCCTAAACCAAACCAATTGCAGTGGCTGTTTGAGACATTGACAGACACAGGAACAGCAGGTTTGAAAAAATCTGTAGCAAAGTCTTGTTTGTTTGTTGATTGGATGATCAGAGAGCTTCCAGATCATCAGGGAGACTCAGTAAAGCTGCAGAAAGCCACAGCATCCATTCATGCCAAGAGGGCAAACCACATCCTGGGGTGCATCAAACATAGTAAAACGAGCCAGTGAAAAGAGGTGATGGTCCTGCTGAATTCAGGTTTGGTGTGGCCTCACTTGAGTTCTGTGTGCAGTGCTGGGGCCCACCATTTAAAAAGGGCATGAAGGTCCTTCAGTGTGTCTGAATGTGTCCAGAGGAGAACAACAAAGCTGGTGAGAGGTCTCGAAGGCATGTCCGATGAGGGGCAGCTGAGGAATTCAGGCTCATCTAGTTTGGAGAGAAGGTGGCTGAGGACCAGCCTCACCTTCCTGAGGAAGGGATGTGGAAAGGGAGGTGCTGAGCTTCTCTCACTAGGATCCAGTGATAGGAAGCTTGGAGATGGTTCAAACCTAAATCAGGGAAGGTTAGTCTGGATGTTAGGAAACATTTCTTTACAGGGAGAGTGGTCAAACCCTTGAACAGCCTTCCTAGCTAGTCAGTGCCCCAAGCTAGTCAGTGCTCAAGAGGCATTTGGACAATGCCCTTAAAAACATGCTTGAACTCGGTCAGCCTTGAGTTGGTCAGAAAGTTGGATTAGATGATTGTTGTAGGTCTCTTCCAACTGAAGATATTCTGTGCAGGTGGGATGTGACTCTGCCATCACACGAGTGTTGTTCAGCTCATTGCTAATCTCCACCTTCAGCTAACATCAACCTCAGACTCCCATTGATTTGGAGTGCTTCTTTGATGCCCTTGTTTGGGATTGTCCAGACTCTATGGAAAGGAGACTTTGTTTGCCTTCATCAAATCTGTGCTAAGTTACAAACAAATATAGATATATTGGGTTAATTTTTATACAGACATAAAAATTACATGTTTCCTCTATATGTGTGTGGGTAACAGACAGTGAAGAGTGTGTACAGCAAAGGTCTCTGCCCTGTCTGGGGTCAGAGTGACGATAAGAGTGTTCATTTTAACTACTGCTGGTTCAGACAAATCTAAAAAGGTCTGAGGAAGAGGACAGGAGATTGTCATGAGGGTAAGAGTATCCTCATTGTACATTTTTTGTTCAAAATCACACATTATTCATGGTTAGCAAATGAGCCTTTTTTGTGTTGGTTTTGGTGTTCTGTTCAGTTTTTGTTTCTTCCTTTCAATTCCTCACCAGCAATGTGTAGTAGAAAAACAAACAAGAAACCCACAAAAATACACCTATGGAAGTAAACCCTTGGAGACTTCTAAATGCCGCTTCCTGACTTCTTCAGAATTGAATTTGATGCTTTGACTTGATGCCTGTCAGTTTGGAGCAGCTTCACTTGGAGCACCCACACTTATTTTAAAGATGATGTTGGGTTTTTCTGTACCTGTTCATTTCTTAACCAATTTTTGTTCTGGAATCACATAGCTGATCTGATGTGAGAGATGGATGACAACCAGATAGAAAAGGATACTCTCACTTTAGTCTCTAAAATATTGATGGTAACCTCTTTTGGTTTAGATCTGAAAATTTGAGGGTTCTGTGGCTTTAATAGCCACAGCTATTAAACAAAAGAATGTGAAGAACTTAACGTTCAATGGAGCGTATGGAATATACATACTTTTAGTTGTGATAACTGTAGTCAACTCTGATTTCCTAGACCTATGTAATCAGGCACTACTTCTTAGCTATTGGAACTTGGCGCTGTAGTGTTGTCAAAGGGTTGACCAGATAGCTTTTACTTTTTGTAAGAGGGAATTACTTCTGGTGTGGGATTTTAGTACAGTATGAACTGTAGTTTTGTCATTCGGGTAAACAAAATGCATGAACAATACATGCACGCGCACCCCACCAATCAAATATGATGTTCTTTTTCAGCAATACTTTTTAAAAACTTTCAGTACTGTATTGTAGTTAAAGATTGCCTTTTGTTGTAAAGTAGAAGTAATGTGCCCCATTAAACGTACAGGGAACAGAAACTTCAGTAACTTGTAACTGTAGGTCCAGTGGCTACTGGAAAACTGATTTCTGGTGGCTCAACTACATGATTTCAAACTCAGGATCCTCAACTAGTCAGTGGAATTTGGATGAGAAGTTTTCTTACTGTACATATCTTTTGAGGGATATAAGCCTTGATTTAACACAGGTTTAGATTAGAGGATTTAAATAATGGAGATGCTTAGTCTTTGCTGTGATTTAAGGTATGTTGGTCATCGTGGCTGTGTTACAGGTTGTAAAATGCAGGTTTATGGCATTGCTTTGCTCTTGGTATGAGTTTAAAATCACACCTTTTGATAAATAAGTTCACCTTTGCAAACAGGAACTGCCTTACCCTTATTGTCTGAAATGGTGGAAGGAGGGACCACAGAATTGCACGGGCTGTACTATACATATACATATATATATATATATATATATATATATATATATATATATATATATATATATATGAATACCCAAGAGGGCAGGTGACTCTTGGAGGTTTGGTTTCCAAAGTGTAACACGTGAGCCAGCAGCTCCACCAACACCTGGAGCTGGCTCTGAGAGCTGCCTGCCCACAGGAATGGTTCCTCCTGTGCTCAGTCCCATCCATGCTGGGGCAGGAGGAGGTGATGGCACCAAAGCTGTCAGTGAAGGGATGGCAGTGCTGCTGGCCCTGTCTGACACTGTGTCTGTTCCAACAGGGCATGAAACCCCTGGGTGAAGTTTCTGGGTAGTTTCTCCTCCTCCCATTACATGCCACGTTCTCATCCAGTTTGTCCCTTTGCAGTAGTGACAGCACCGGTGAATGGGCATGGGTTAACGGATCTGTCTGTCCTTTGAAACTGTGTTGTTCTATGTCAGACTGCTCCATTGCTTTCTTGGCATCATCCATTGACTCTTGGCACAAAAACCAAGGGACGTTAAACCATGAATTAGCTTTCTTAAAGGAAAATACCTCTTTTTTCTGTTTTTTCTCCCTTTACCCTTGTCTTTCAGTTATACCTGCCGCCACTTGCGGAGATATGTATATGTCTTGGACAAACTGTATTTCCCCCACTCTCACTGCTCCACGCTGCAGCATTGCTTCTCGACCCTCAGTGACAATGGAGAGGAACTCTTGTCTTTAACTTGTTCTCACATTCTCAGATCCTATGCTTCCAGGTTATTAACCTCTGCTCTCCATTTACTGCATGCTGCATGCTCTGTGACTGGTCTGTGCATGTTTTCAGTAAACTGATGAATAGAATAATGTTAATTTATAAGAGGATGTTTTGTGTCTTTGTGGCATCCTTGATATAGGTCCTAAAAATGTGGTAGAAATTAATGTCTGATAACATTTTTGTTTCTTTTTTATTATATATATATATATAATGTGTGGCCTTTGGAAGTTTTAAATGCTTTTCATGTTAAACTATTTTAATCCTTTTCCCAAAACTATGACATAAGAGCATAAGCTGTGATTCATGAAGCTTCTATACAATTATGTAGTTTGTTTGGAATTAGTGGAGAGATGTAAGTCGTCTTACATGTAAGTGTCTAATACTTCATTGACGCCCATTGTCTATATAAATTGCTTTTCAAGAACGGGAATGACGAGAATCCACCAGCCCAAAATGACAACGTAAAATCCTTGTTCATGGTGCAGGGTTATATGTGCTCTACAGGAACTGCAAAATAGCAGGAATTTGAGAATAAATTCAACTTGCTGTACCCAAATGTTTTCTCTGAGCTGTTTACTCCAAGTGAAAATTCAAGTTTTACTATTTGACTGTTGACGCTGTGGATAATAAAATATATTAACCAAGATGCCAGAAGCTTTAGGGGAAAAAAGGCAAAAATTGCATGACAAAATTGATCAGAACATGGAAAACATCCAGGGTGGAAATGCAGCTTCCCAGCTAAGCCGGCGTACAATAGCAGTAGACCACACAGTAAACATAAGTAAAACCAGCTTTGATTTGTCAAGGGAAGAAAATACGGCATGCAAGCTGAAATAACTCTTTTTGTACAAAAGAAATTTTATAGCGGTACATAATGATGGAGAGTCACACTGAAGGATCTCAACAGGAGATGAAAATCTAGCTGTCCCAGGGGCGTTCTCCACATTAATTTGGAACAGGGATACAGTATTAAAGTAGGCAAACCCCTAAGATTTCAAAGGCATTATTTAAAAATGAATAATAATAATCAGCACAGTGTACAGCAAAATCTTGTTTATGATGGAATGTTTTACACGTAGGAGTGATATCCCAAAACCATTAAAGAAATAGCTTAATTATTCCAGCTTGTTTCACTGAAATTTTGGTAATTCTGTACAATGGCAGTGCTACAACATTATGTTGGCAGAATCATGCTTGGGAGACTATTACTCCATGGATGTTGCATCTCTCAGGTGGCTTTGTGGATGAAAATAAGCAGTGATAACACTATATGCAGTTTTATATATCCAGCTTCTGAAGTTTTTAGAGCAAAAAGTTTGTTTAATTAGTCTTCATACTGAAACTGATGGAGAAATAGTTTGCTGGTATTACTTTCTGAAATGGGAGTTACGCATCAGTTGAGATATATTAGAATATATCAGCCAGGGAGATTGTAAAATCTCAGGTTTTCATTACAGGCTATCCTTTTATGAGATAGGAGGAGGATGGAGTATTTGAAATAGAAAATGCTGCTAGAAAAATATATAGGTAGCAGGTTTTAGTGGCTAATTCTCTGTTGTTGTTCTGGTGATATATGGCTAGAAAAGTGTGTGCTCAGGAAACTTGCCCATGGAAGTCCATAAATAACATTAAATACAGTGGCATAAATGGAGGTGTCAAAAGTGTGTTTCGTGGGAATCTGTGCATCCATCCTATAGTAAGTACTGCAATATTTTATCCTACTTAGAGAAGAGATGGGATGCATAAATTACAAACGGCAGAGAATTATTTATCATGGTGATTTATAAATTACAGCCCTCCCACTCAGGCTTCTTTGCAGTGCTCCTGGTAAATAATATAAAACTTAGCCTTGACTAATGGCTGGTCTCTAGCGCTGTCCTGCTACCGCGGATGATGTTGCCTGTCTTTAGACATCCCATAGAATTAAAGTTGTTATTACGATTTCAATACGTTTTGTGTGCAAATGTGAATATGCACGTGAACAGTTGTACTTTTAATTTGGAGGTAAGGAGAGGGAATTAATTTGTTTTACTGTATTTTACTTTGTCTTAGTTAAAGTAGGAAATACGAAGGCAGTTTTAGAGTGACAGCACTGACTAATTAGTACTTAATAACTACTGTTTTCCATTAAAGCACTTACAAAGGCTGATTTTTGTGAGATACTGGTGGTGACCTATCAAATCTATAGGCACACTGTATCCCACACTCACGGAACAGCTAACCCTGGTTAAAGTGAGGGAGAGGGGAAGGAAAATTTATCGACACTATGTATGTGGCATATATTCCAGTGTCCTGCAGGGAGGAAGCCCACAGCACCAGGACTCCGGGCAGCTTTGACTGGGATTTAGTACCAGTGTTGCTTTTGGTGGTTTTTCCAAATGATAAAAACAGAGGAGATACAATACCTATTTTATTATGCAATGCATTAGCATAGCATAAATATTGAGTCAGGGATTGTAATCTGTCTAATAATTCTGTTGTGGCTGTGCTGTTCATTGATTCTTGCAGTAACTGCTTCGTGATGTGAAATATATTCTCCCACCCTTACCATTATGGTTTCCTTTTGTATTGCGTGTTTGTCGTGTGATGTTTTTATGCTCGTGTGTGTTCCCTTTTTGTTTTAAACCTCTTCTGGTTGCAGTCAATCTCAGGAAAATTGTTTTTGAAAATGAAACTGGCTTAGTGCATGTACTAGCAAAAGGCAGTTAACAAGCAATGATTTGTTTTGGGATGCTGAACAAATTAAGGATGGTTTTATTTTCATAGCTAGCTTAACATTGTGTGTGTGAAAGAAGGAAATATGGTTTTGCTGAGCCTTGTAAATTGAGTAAACATGTTCCTGAAGCAGTAGAGCAAAATGAAAAATTATATGGATTCTTTTGAATGGAGTATTTTTGCCCAGAGTTTAAAAAAAGACCAAAGAAATATGATGTCAAATTCACAGTTTAGCCATTTTACGTATCTTTTATTACTTAAGACTATGTTAGTTTAAACAGGAAAATGTATCTAATAAGATTTTAATACTCCCTTTCAGAAACGTTCTGGCACATTGTCTGAAGCCTGTAGAGGATAAGCTTTGCAGCTATACTCCTCCCATGCCATCAGTGTTGATGGAATTATGCAATTGCATTAAAGAATGTGCAGTCTTTGCAGGATCAGGGCCTTGGAAGTTAGCTTTGAAAAAATCTGCTAATTACCAGAAATGTTTCTGTTGCTGTAATGTGATGGTGAAGTAGTGCATAACACCAACTTGTATTCATTAACCAGTTGTCAGCTCCTTTTTCCTTGGAGTGTGTGTTGTGCTGGGGCATTGGGGCTGGATCCTGGGAATTCATAGAATCATAGAACTAGAGACTGGTTTGTGTTTGAAGGGAGGTTAAAGCTCCTCTAGCTCCAACCCCTGCCACAGGCAGGGACCCCTTCCACTAGAGCAGCTTGCTCCAAGCCCCTGTGTCCAACCTGGCCTTGAACACTGCCAGGGATGGGGCAGCCACAGCTTCTCTGGGCACCCTGTGCCAGCGCCTCAGCACCCTCACAGGGAAGAGCTTCTGCCTAAGAGCTCATCTCAGTCTCCCCTCGGGCAGGTTAAAGCCATTCCCCTTGGCCTGTCCCTACATCCCTTGTCCCAAGCCCCTCTCCAGCTTTCCTGCAGCCCCTTCAGGCACTGGAGCTGCTCTCAGGTCTCCCCTTCAGGATCCTTCTCTTCCCCAGGCTGCCCCAGCCCAGCTCTCTCAGCCTGGCTCCAGAGCAGAGCTGCTCCAGCCCTCGCAGCATCTCCATGGCCTCCTCTGGCCTCGCTCCAACAGCTCCACGTCCCTCTTGTGCTGCTGCCCCAGAGCTGGATCAGGACTGCAGGGGGGGTCTCCCCATAGCGCAGCAGAGGGGCAGGATCCCCTCCCTGAGCTGCTGCTCACGCTCTGGGGCTGCTGCCCAGCACATGGGGTGTTCTGGGCTCAAGCGCTCACTGAAGCTGGGTCATGGGGAGCTTCTCCTCACCCAGCACCCCAAGTCCTTCTCCTCAGGGCTGTTTTCAGTCCAGCTGTATGTTATAGACAGTCCTTTGCCAGGATGTGGATACCTGTCCTGTTCTTCGGTATGTACAGGAAAGGAATCAGAGTATAATTCTCAAAAGCTGCTAAAAACATTTGCAAGTCTTACATACTTCCTTTGGTTTTAGTCTGTGAAGGGTAGGTGGGGAGAAGCGTGGCAGATAACATTTATTGTTGAACCTTAAACGTTCTTTGCATGGTTTAATGCAATATGGAGAAGTACATAAATTAGTATTCTTTCAGATGAGTATTGACAGGTGTGAATTCTTTTTCTCTGATTCTGTAGATCATTTTGAGCGTTTTTTGCATTCAGCTTTAAGCAGTTAAGTTAAAAATCTCACCCTAAGTTACTGCAAGTAAAATAGTCAGTACATCAGCCTTGCAAGAGTACTCTCTGGATAAGAAATCTGGGTGTTCTCTTCCAGAGCCTCTTCAACATTCTGAAGAATGGTCCTTTTCTATTTTCCTGCTATTTCCAGTTAAAGCACTCAGTTACTTATAACTTTTGGAAATAATTTATATCGCTTCTGATACTTCTTAGTGTGATATTTTATATATGAAGTAACAAATATTGATCCTTAGGAGCTTAACCCCTAAGAGCTGATACTGAAAGTGGCCATCATGTAAGGAGAATGAAAGCATTCTTGAGAAATAATAGCTGTTGTATTATAAACATCTAGTAGGTGTGACAACAGGTAAAGATAGAAGTCAAGACAATTAGTGGTATTATTTTGACTTTAACAGTCATTTAAATGAGAAGGTCTCTGGTGTCGGACCTTGGTTAAACACGGCTGTCTCTGCAAGCCAGTCACCCAGAGTGAAGTCAGTGCAGGTAGGGTTCTACCCAAAGTGGTGTGGGAAAGATAAATGTCTTTTTAATTGGTGTAGGCAGGTGACATTGGTTTAAGAATGAGCCAATAGCCAAAGGTGACAAAAAAAACCCCACCTTACT